CCCCCCCCCCCCCCCCTCTCTTCCTTTTGGATCGGCCAATGTTCACTTCCTTGGAACAGCCTATGTTCGCTTCCTTAACAATTTCCACATTGCAGCTACTATAGTTAGAAAAAGTCTGATATTTATGGGCTTGATCCTACGTTGGCCAAAGACTTTTGATTCATCCGGCGTGTTCGTTTATGGTACTTCAAATCATGCAGACCATTTGTGAAAAAAATCATTTTCAGGCCCTCTGTGGTCATTGAGAAGGGTACGTTGTGAGTGCGTATGAATGGAGACGTAAACGTTGACGGTCCCACCGATGTCTGTACCTCTCATCGACCCGCGTTCCTTCCGTTCTTTTTGCTTTCGGGGCGAAGGTCGTGCAAATTTCGTTATTAGTGCAAAATGTGAAAAATCAGGCCTCAGGTATTGTTTTTATTTCGCTCATACTATAACATTTTTTTGCATTTTCTTGTAAAATTTTAAAAAGTTGATTCAAAAATTTTTCTTAAAAATTAATCATCAGTAGTTGGTGAACTAACCATAACATTTTTTTGCATTTTTTGTAAAATTTTGAAAAAATTTATTTAAAACTTTTTTTTAAAATTATTCTTCAGTAGCAGATAGAAATTCAGGGCATTTTTGCAAAATTTTTATCTGAAACTTTTTTTTTTTAAAATTAAACGTCGGTAATTGTTGGACTACAATTTCGGCGTTCGATTTTTTTTGCTTTTTTTTGTAAAATTTGGAAAAATTTATTTAAAACTTTTTTTTTTTAAAATTATTCTTCAGTAACAGATAGAAATACAGGGCATTTTTGCAAAATTTTTATCTGATACTTCTTTTTTTTTAAAATTAAACGTAGGTAATTGTTGGATTACAATTTCGGCGCTCGATTTTTTTTACCTTTTTTGCAAAATTTTGAAAAAAATTTATTTAAAACCTTTTTTTTTTAAATTAATCATCAGTAACTGATGGAACTACAGGACATTTTTGCAAAATTTTTATCTGAAGTTTTTTTTGAAGAAAATTAAACATCGGTAGCTGTTGGATTACAAATTCGGCGCTCGATTTTTTTTTGCCTTTTTTTGTAAAATTTGGGAAAATTTATTTAAAATTTTTTTTTGAAAAATCATCAGTAACTGATGTAACTACAGGACATTTCTGTAAAATTTTTATCTGAAGTTTTTTTTAAAGAAAATTAAACATCGATAGCTGTTGGACTACAATTTAGGCGCTCGAAAATCGACCAAATTCCCGCAAATTTTATCAGAAGGTGCTAACTGTGTCAAGAAAAAAAACCACTGTCTGGGCTAGTAATCAAGGCTCGCAGGTAGCTCCTTGGATTACCGAGATCTGGCGCTGCTCGCAGTATCAACTTCCAACAGTTCGATTGTGTGCTTTTTGTCGTCTAAAAATGATGGTTTACTACGACACACGCTGAGCGCCTATTTAAAGAATCTGCTCGCGGCCATTGCTCCATTTTATTGATTGTCTTGCCCTGTTGAGCCGTTAATTCAATTTGCTGCTTGAACTGCTTAAGTACCAACCTCAGCATTCCATTCGCTCTCCCATATTCTGATCTGATCGTGCTTGACCCATTTTATTCATCCATTTCAAGGAGTATCAAACCAAGCGATTCAACTTAAAATTCTATTTAAACGATTGAAAGTAATTGTTCATTAATTTTTATTTTTTCACCACATGATCTGACGTACTTGCGCATGACGTGTGGGAGAATCCTAGTAACATTACTAACAGGGGTACCCATACTGATAATTCTAGTGGTCTTAGTAATAATTTTTATCAATAATAATTCTTATGATTCTTATAATAATAATTCTTATTTCTATTAATAATTTTTATCAGTAATAATTCATATTTTCATATTTATACGATTTGTTACTTGTTTCACGGTAGATTAGGAAACAAGGAACTGAATGCTGAGTAGAAATTAGTGAGCAAAAACTCACAGGGCAAAATAATCAGGCCCTTATGTACACTATCATTATTTTTGCAACTTTCATCATTTTGCTCGGGCCAGTTTTATTAATTGCCCAGAGTTTTAACTAAAAAAAAGCCAGTATTTTAAATAAATGTTCTTCAGGATAGCATGGAGGCTTGCAAAGCAACGCAAATCAGGTTGTGTGTCAACGAAACCGAAATGTCGTGTTGTTTGTGCATATTTGGAGAAGTTGATTGTGCCTTTTCTTGGTCGTCAATTCCTTGTTAAGCCAGAAATCGTTGAAATCGATGTCCTCTCATTGCATCATCTTGCCAAAGTTAGCAAAGTTTATTTCCTTAAAACTAAATTTTTCGAGCAACTCCCCCCCCCCCCCCCCCCCCCCCCCCCCCCCCCC